TTTTTTTATATTTTCTACTTTCTTTACATCTTTTATATTTATATTTTATATTTTTTACTTTTATCTTTTTATTTATTTTTCATTTTTTTATTATTATAATTTTTAAAGCCTATTTCCCTTTTTAAATATGTTCTATTTACCAAACTAAGAAACTTAGATCTATTAACTAAACCTAAGGCTCAGTTTGGAAGGAGTACAAATACATATATGTACTATGCAAATACATACAAAATAATACAAAATACAAGGTTTTGCGCTCTAAGAATTTGTATTTGTACTCCTTCCAAACTGAGCCTAAGGTTACAATTTTCATTCTTCTATTCTCTCTTTTCTTTTTAAATTCATATTATGCTCTGTTTTCACTGATCTAATCCCTCTTCAAAGATCCAAAGAAGAGAAAATGCAACCTCAGCGTCTGATATCTAAGTGACTGATTCCCTTTGCGTTGGTTTACCTTCCTTTCCTCTGATATCAACCCAACGCCGGTTTGTATTTCCACTTACTATATCCTCCAATCATAGATCCCAACCTACCGTCGATTCACTTCCCTCCATTCGTAAACCTCTCCTACCTAATGTCTACCTCTCACAACTCCCAGAACTGCATGTCAAATTATCTCTAACCCCTAGACCAGATCACCTCCACTTCTGCATGTCACAACCTCTCAGCCAGGACCGATAATAGTGCGCTTAGGATCGCATGAATACCAACCTTCATATCTACATGCCTGGTAACTCCTAACTAGTTCATTCACCACTTTGCATGTCTGTCCATCCACTGTTAACATAACTCCGGTACCTCCTCTCCCGTGGCCTCATGTAACCTCTATAACTCCTCCTTCTTTGACACTTCCCCTCCTTTGTAAATCCTCAAATATTTCAGTTACGTAACCCTTGATACTGTTCTATCATAGATTCTTCCACCTTCCCCTATTGATAGATTCTTGCTCCTGTACCAACCTACCCCACGTGGTCCCCATAGGGCTCCCATCGGGAAGTTACTGCCTCTCATTCTCTCCCGTGATAACCGAATATTCCCTATACCAGCATGGCTTCCAAAGGCAAAGAAATAATATCCGCCACCGACTCCATGCATGCAACAGACAACTTTGAATCGCTTTTCTCACATGTAGTAAATGTAAGTAGAGAAGTTCAAACTCCCTCCTTTGAACCTATCGAGAAAGCTATCAATGTTATAGCTCTTACGTTAAAGAGGCACATTTTCCCACGCCAACAAGTAACAAAAGACATTATGGCTAACCATGTTAGCATTCAATGGAAAGTTACAGCTCCTATTACAGTTCGTTTTATTGAAGGGGGGAGTCTTGAGTTCCTGTTTTCTGACTAGAATGACAGAAGAACTGCATTAGAGAAGGGTCCATGGTTCTATCGCTCCAGTTGGATACTACTTTAAGAGTGGAGTGATTCATGTACCGGCATTGTTGAGAAGGTATGGAGTCAAAGGATTTGGCTGCAAATTCACATGATACCCAGAGGAACAGTAGAAGATAGCAGGGTCTGCTCTCTCGCACAAGCAGTAGGAACCATCGTCCCAAACCAAGAGAAAATACAAACAGGCCATTTAATCTGGGGTTTGTTTGTCAGGAAAAAAATTACCATTGATCTTCGGAAACCCCTCTGTTCAGAGTGGTTCATATTTTATTAGGGCAAACCGATCTGGCTTCACTTTTGTTATGAGCAACTCCCCCGTGTCTGTGTTAATTGTGGCCTAGTCGGCCATGTTTGGACAAACTACAAACGGTTCATCTCCAACACTGCCGATTACAGACAACTGCTAGAAGATAGAACCATTGATAACCCCGGTGAATAGTTGAGAGTCGAGATCTGCCCAGAGAGACCCTTCAATCTCCCAGTCTTCAGCCTAAGCAAAGCTAAGCCCGACTCTTGCAGAATCCGTCACAGTGAACATGGATCAGACGAGGACTCCGAAGATGGCATAGGTGGCTGGAAACATCCTAAGTGTTAGGGACCTCTTAACCCCTCACCTCTGTTGGAAAATAGGAGATGGAACAAAAGTAAACTCCCTAACGGATCCCTGGATCCCGTGGGTCCCTACCAATAAACCACAAACCCGATAGACCTACACTGACAGACGTTGGATGGTTAAAGATTTCATCACAACTCTTGAAGATTGGAACTCCCAACTCTTACACCAAGTTTTTGAAGACTCTTTAGCCGATGTTGTATTAAGCATACCCTTGAACCTTCAACACCAAGGGGATAAACTATTGTGGAAGAATTCAAAGGATGGCATCTATTCAGTTTGCTCGGCCTATAGGAGCCTCTCAAGAAATGAACTTGTAGGCCCTTCTAGAGAACAAATCAAGTGGTCTAGATTGCGGGCCACAAAAGCTCCTCTCCGATGTCAACTCTTTGGATGGAAAGTCTTGTTGAATGGGGTCAAACCGAAATAGTCAGCCTGGTTCCTGCGGCACTCAGGGGACATTTCTTGTGTGTTTTCTATGGAAATGCACTAGAAACTCAGGTGCATCTCTTCTTTGAATGTTCTTTAGCGAGAGTAGTGTGGCTATTGGCTCAAATTGGCTTCAATCCAAATGCCTTCATTGCATCAGGATCGCCAGACTTCCTAACCTGGTGGCTAGAAAGGAATTTTGGGAAAAAGGACCTCCAAAGTTTCTCCATGGCTAGACTGCTAGCCATTCTGAGAGCATTGTGGGATTATAGGAATGATGTGATCTTTAGAGGAAAGTCCCCAAACCCTCTTGAAGTCACGAGAAAAGCGAACAAATATGTCCCAGATATAGAAGCTTCGAAATGGTTTGAGACTCACCACCAAAATGACCACACCCCTCTTCCCACTCATTAGCTACCCCTAAACTCCCATTCATTAGTTATAATTGATGGATCTTGGAACCCAAATACTAGCTCAGCCTCTATGGGTTTGTATTTATTGTATTACACACACAATGTTTACATTGCAGAAGGACAATGGTGCAAGGCCTTTAACACCTCAGAAGCTAAACTCTAGGCAATCATCAGAGGCCCGAGAAGATTTATTCTACTGGGTATCAGTGAAGCTACCATCCTATTAGAAGCAAAGGAAATTTTGCTAAAGCTCAAAGAAACCATAGGAAACATAAGCGCACGTCAAGTATCTGCTTTCCTTTTTTTGTGGAATTAAAATTGATGTCTGTAAATAAAAACGATGTGGGCCCTACACATGACATAGCTAAAAGGGCCAATATAAATAGAACTCACATGACATAGACAACAAAGGGAGGACAGTAACTAGTGCCCTTATGGGACACGTGTCGGAAAAGAAAACACCAAAATACCGTAGTCCTTTGACAGTACGTAGCGAACTCTGCCATAACTGGCAATAAATCACCTCGACGGGTATAAATGGTAGAAAATTAAACTTCAAGAATGACTGTTGGATACGATGGCCTAACAACGACCTTCTATTGGATGGAAGAGTTTGCAACTATTGAAGCATCAACAGTGTGGTCTTTTTTCTACCATTTATACCCGTAGACCTTTTAGGTGATGAACTTGTATATATGACTAAGTCCAAGTCTTTTTTCTTCCTCCACAATATCACCTTGATTGATATCAACAATATTTGAAGGGAACCTCCAAATCCAATAACAATGAAATTAATCCGCCAACTCAGCACCAATAGTGCCTCAACATTTCTCGTAAACTAGAGCTTATACACCATCCAGCCTATCCAACATCCTACAAAGCCAAACATTTTTCTCTTCTATAATAATCATAGTAGGCAACCCAGTGAAATTCTCTAGATTTGGGCTAGAAGAAGTAAACAAACTATCAAAATATTGAGCGAGTAAAGAAGAGATTTCACCACGATTAGAAGTCCAACTGCTGTCTTCCCGTTCTAGTTTGGGATGAATAGATCTAATTTCTTCTCATTCCGTTTCTATCTCCATTTCATCTCTGGTTCATTCTTGCCCTTTGCTACCAATAAATCTCCTCTTGTCTAACCATTTCTGCAGCACCAATCTCAATCTTTACTTTGTGATCATATTAGCTAGTGGTAGAAGAAAGAGCTCCTATTGGATGGTAGCTAGGTAGTTGTTTCTCAAGGACATTGATGGTCGGCCGAATAGCATGTTTAACGGAAGCACTTTTTTGTGCAAAGGACCCCAAGGCTTGTTCCCATTCTCTTTTGAACTTTATTATTGAAAACCAAAAGTCTTCAAACCAGCAGGTTGCTTCAAATTTCAGAAATTGATGAACAAAGGAGAATGATCACTAGCAACCGTCACTAGGTGGTCCAGAACAGCATTTGAAAATTAATTAATCTATTCAGGATTCAGCCGAACCCCAATAGTATACCCTATCCAAACCCATTTTAATGGGGTCATGAATGCAGTGATTGATTACACCAGTTAAAATCTTGATCTTTCTACCCAAAGATCAAATAATCCACACTCAGAAAACGGAGGCATCAACAATGAAGTTTATTATTTATATCTCCAATCACACACACACACACATCAGGGACCCTATTACAACTTTCAAAAAGCAGTTAAAAGCAAGCAAAAGATTCATTCTCACATAACATTTGTCTTCCAGCTAAGAATGGACGGCACATAAAAACAACCCATATTCATTCAATATGATTATTAGCCCAATTTGAAAAATTTTTCCAATCACAAGATGGGAGGAAAAAGCAAAACCACTAAAAACCGAAAGTGATTTCTCCATTCAAAGCCAGGTGAAATTTCTGAATTTTTAAGAAAAAGGGTTGTAGAGATAGTGAGTTAACCGTGTTACACATGACATCCGATATTTTTTATCTGAATCCAACATTCTTTAAGAGGATCTTGAGAAACACGAACTCTCATGGATCTTTCAGCGGATCAACCTTATGGAAGTGCGAAGCACGTGCCCCTCCACAACACGAGTCATCATGAAGGAGGGCAGGATCGTCCTGGACAAGAGTATCTAATGATCTACATCAGTAAAGAAAGAAAGAGATTTTGGATTAAAAAAATGAAAAAGAATTAAAACATCCTTTTCTTTTCTCTTCTTTTCTGCCGTCCTTCCAACCATGAAAACCATTACGACAGCTTAGCACAGCAGAGAGGAAAGAAAGCAAGGCAAAAGCAGAGAACTTGCTCTGTGTTTTCTTGTTCATAGTTTCTTGTTGCTTAATCTCTTCGGTTTGATCTCTAATTCTCAAGTAAGTTAATCTTCCTTGACGTTTTCATCCATAATCTTGTTGGGTTTCGTTTAACGTTTAGAGCTTTATCGGGTATGCGTTTATTTTTCTCGTTTGTTTGTTTGTTTGTTTGTTCATGTTTGTGTTTCTTTGCTGTTTCAGGGTTGGAATTGATCATCTTTTTGGATTTTTTCTGTTTAAGTCCTGACCCTTTATTTTTTGGTTTCTGGAGGTAGGTTGTTTTGAATATTTCGTTGGACTGATCTTCCTTTTATGTGATATTCATGCAATTGTAATTAGAAAAGCAAAGAGAGAAGAGAAGAACTTTTGGGTTTTTAGTGTTGGATCTTCTTGTTTATTGATCAGCTGGTTTTTGTTTTATGTAAGATTTGAATTTGATGAGTTGTCTGAGGTGTTGGATTGTCAGCATTGATCGTCTTCTTTTGGTGCAGGTCAGGGATAGAGGTTAGAGTGCGATAGAGAGAAATGGCTGTTGATACAAAGGAGATTGGAATTTATGTTAGGAAAGGTCTTATCTTTTCAATCAGAACCTGTTATCGATCAATGCGTGAACATCCAGTTGTTTGGGGTGTGGGGTTTTTCTTCCTTTTTCTGTACAGATGTTTTCCTTTTCTGTTTGGCTTTTTGCTGTCTTCTTCTCCTGTTCTTATATGCACCGCTGTTCTTCTTGGAACTCTGTTGAGTTTTGGGAATCCACATATCCCTGAAGTTGAGAGAGAGGAGAAGACAACCCATGGAATCGCGTCTCTGAAAACTGGTGTTTTCAAAAATGACGTTGTTGTTAAGAAAGATGAAATCTTTTCAGTAGAGGCTCGCGTGGAGAAGAAAGATAATGATGACGAGAAGGCAGTTGAAGAGGCATCTCCAGTGGGCGAAGGAAGGGACTGTAAGGTTGAGAAAGAGGTGCTTTCCTCTTCAAGTTCAACACATGGTGAAGGTTTGATGGGTAGTATCGATGTGCCTGGGGAAGAACCAAAAGGGACTCTTGGTGGGAAGCAAGTGGTAGAAGAAAAGGAGAGAGAATTCTGTAGTTCGAAAGTTGTAGAAAAGAGAGAATTCCAGGAGGAGAGTGTATCCAGAGCTTGTGAAGATGTTGAAGGTCAATTTTCTGAAAATCAGAAGGATGCTGAAAGTCTTAAAGAGGAAATTGAACAACAGGCAGGTAAATTGCCTGATATACAGTTGGAAGATCATGCAGATACTTCTCAAAATTTCTCTTGGAAGCTGGAAGAAGAGCATGCTGAGTCTGATTCTGAGTCTGATCATGCAGAGAGTTCCTCTCCAGATGCTTCAATGGCTGACATCATTCCAATGCTTGATGAGCTCCATCCACTCTTAGAATTAGAAGCTTCTCTGCAAGTGCAGGACTCTGATGCTGCCTCAGAACACTCTCATGGATCTGACGATGGTAGTGCTGAATTAGAAGAGGAAACTGAAAACCAGGAGGAAGAAGAAGATGAAGACGATGAAGAAGTACAGGGGGAGCAAGAGATTTCTGCTAAATCTGTAGTCATGTGGACGGAGGATGACCAAAAAAATCTCATAGATCTTGGAACTTCTGAGTTGGAAAGAAACCAACGGTTGGAGAACCTACTTGCCAAGCGAAGTGCAAGGAAAGCCTTGAGAATGGAGGCTGAGAAAAATTTGATAGATTTGGATAGTAATGACCCTCCATTTTATGTTGCACCAATTTTGACAACAAGGAACAACCCTTTTGATCTTCCCTATGATTCTAATGAGAGCATGGGGTTACCAGCCATTCCTGGATCTGCTCCTTCTGTATTGCTTCCAAGGCGTAACCCTTTTGATCTTCCCTATGACTCACTTGAAGAGAAGCCCAATCTCATTGGAGATGATGTTTTTCAGAAAGAGTTCATGGCTATTAACCAGAAGGATACATTCTTCCGAAGGCATGAGAGCTTCAGTTTAGGAGCTTGTGTGGAACACAAGAAAAAGAAGTGTGATATTAAGATGAAGCCATATTTTGTAACTGAGCAAATGGCTTTTGAGGACGAAGAGTATCCAATATTTCAAAGACAATCAAGAGATAAGGGTGATTCTAAGCTTAGTTCTGCCCTAGAAACTGAGTCTCTTTCTTCAGAAGAGGATCATGAAGATCAAAGGAGTATTGAACAAGACTCATCCCAAGAAACAGAACAAATCTTCCATGTTGATCATATGTCTGATCATGTTGAATGTGAAAGCCACACATTTGGAGAAGTTGGCTCTATGGAGATTGAACAAGAAGAGAAGAGAGATGTTCATATTAGTAATATTGAGGTGGAGGAAGTTGAGGAGAAGGGTCATGAAACAGAACCAATCTTGCCTGTGATAGAAAGCATAACTTCTCCTACGACACCTGATAAAATTGAAGAAGAGGAGAGAGATGTTCATGTTAGTAACAATGAGGTGAAGGTGGCAGATGAGGAGAATTGTCATGAAACAGAACCAATCTTGCCTGTCACAGAAAGCATAACTTCTCCTATGACACCTGATAAAATTGAAGAAGAGAAGAGAGATGTTCATGTTAGTAACTTTGAGGTGAAGGTGGCTGATGAGGAGAATGGTCATGAAACAGAACCAATCTTCCCTGTGACAGGAAGCAGGACTTCTCCTATGACACCTGATAAAATTGAAGAAGAGAAGAGAGATGTTCATATTAGTAACAACGAGGTGAAGGTGACAGATGAGGAGAATTGTCATGAAACAGAACCAATCTTGCCTGTGACAGAAAGCAAAACTTCACCTATGACACCTGATAAAATTGAAGAAGAGGAGAGAGATGTTCATCTTAGTAATGATGAGGTGAAGGTGGCAGATGAGGAGAATGGTCATGAAACAGAACCAATCTTGCCTGTGACAGGAAGCATAACTTCTCCAATGACACCTGATAAAATTGAAGAAGAGAAGAGAGATGTTCATATTAATAACAATGAGGTGAAGGTGGCAGATGAGGAGAATTGTCATGAAACAGAGCCAATCTTGCCTGTGACAGAAAGCATCACTTCACCTATGACACCTGATAAAATTGAAGAAGAGGAGAGAGATGTTCATCTTAGTAATGATGAGATGGTGGCAGATGAGGAGAATGGTCATGCAACAGAACCAATCTTGCCTGTGACAGAAAGCATAACTTCTTCAATGACACCTGATAAAATTGAAGAAGAGAAGAGAGATGTTCATGTTAGTAACAATGAGGTGAAGGTGGCAGATGAGGAGAATTGTCATGAAACAGAACCAATCTTGCCTGTGACAGAAAGCATAACTTCACCTATGACACCTGATAAAATTGAAGAAGAGGAGAGAGATGTTCATGTTATTAACAATGAGGTGAAGGTGGCAGATGAGGAGAATTGTCATGAAACACCAATCTTGCCTGTGACCGAAAGCATAACTTCTCCTATGACACCTGATAAAATTGAAATTCATGTTAAACCAGAAATAGTTGAAGATGACAGTGGAGCAAGCTTCTCATCATTATCAGAAATGGATGCAAAGAAATTCCATCTGAACACTGATGAAGAATCAGGAAATCTAAAATCGACAATTAGTGATCAAACTCAGAGTCCTGGTGGTTCCATGCAGTCATCACTTACTGAAGAAAAAATCTATTTTAGGACCCAGGCTGCAGAGGGTTTGCATGAAAATCAAACCAAGGAGCCCGTTTATGATTCTAGTCCAGGAGAAATTGAGAAGAACCTCTCTAACATTACATCTATTGAAGAAGGCTGCATTTGTGTGGATAAGGGGGTCCCGGTATCTTCCTCTTCCATATCTTCTGACAAGCAAGCAGAGATATCTGAAGTTGGTTCACCTCATATGTCAATTGAAAGAGCAGATGGGGAACAAGAATTTCACAATGGAAGTATAAGAGAGGAAATGGCTCCTGCAATTGGATTACAGGCAACCTCACTGGATCTCTGTGCAGTAGATGAACATGATTTGGAAACTAGAGAAGTTACAGAGGTCAGTGAGCATGGCGTTATAGAAGTCGGATTTTCTGGAGCTAACCAGAACTCTGATACCCCCAATGTACCTGTTGTGCCAGAGTTGGTGGTTGAGAAAGTCTCCGTTGTCTCAACATCATCAGATAATTCGGAGTTGATAGTGAATGATCCAGTGCAGGAGGACTTAAATCCTCACTTTGAACAAGATCATGCCTCTTCATCAAGTCTTGATCCAGAGATCCATGTTGGCACCCATCAGTATGATTCCAATCAGAAGATGGACACTGTTGATTCCAGTTTTTCAGCTGTTGAAAATTCAGCTTCACATGAATTGGAGGAAGTACTGCCTTTGATTGAAAAATTGAAACCTGTGCCATATTCTGTTGGAGATCATGAAGAAACTCAGGTAAATACTACTAATCCTCTTGTACATATTCTCATCTACTCTCTTTGATATTTAATGGAATCACTTACCATTTCTCAAAAATATGGAACTTTTCAAACATAAAGGGCCATTACCCAATATTAAGCTTAATTATATTTGCCATTAAATCAGGCTTCTGTCTTTTATTTTTCTCCACAAATTTCCAGTGGTTTTATAATCAACTTATATATTCTCTAAGGACTTGCAATATTGTAGATTTACGCTAAGATGATAAAAACTTTGAAATTCGAAGACAGGTCCAGAATAGAAAATTTTTAGTGAAATTTCATAGGAATGATCATAATGGATAGCTTTAGAGAGTGACCAAGTATAGTTAGCTTTGGAGTACATTTGGCACAAAAGCACAAAAAAAGTTAGGTTTGGGAGAAAACTCAACAACTAGGGAATCTAGGGTATTAGTTGGAATTTCAGGATGATGTCTAGAAGGATAAAAGGATGTAAGGATATATGGGGGAGGCATCCAAATTATGGGAGGACTTGGAAATGGTTTGACAGGAAAAGACAAAAAATAGCTAGGGTGGAAAAAATTAAGGTTTTGTTGAAAATTAAGGGAAAGCTCACCTAGTTCAGTTCCAATTCTCTGAGAATGTTGAAGGAACATATTCTTATAAAAGAACTGATGGTTGTTATGTCTTCTTGAAAGATTAAAGAGAAAATAGAGGGTCGCCTAGAAGCACTCTGCGGCATGGGAATCACTCACCACACATCCACACATGGCATTTGGGATAGGAGTTTACACCCTTTTATCAAGAGAAGAGGGATCCAAGCAAATACTCTCTAGAATGGATAGAAGTTTAGTAACACAAGCAAGCTCCTCCTCCCTTAAGCCCCTACAAAAACCAAAGTCCCAGTTGAAGAATAAAGGTAAAACTGGGGGGGGGGGGGAGAAAGACAGAGATAACCTCATTTTTATAAAGGGAAAGGGCATACAGAGAAGGAAATAGATCTTTTAGAGGTTGATTACCCACCCAAGTGTCTTCCCAAAAATGAACCAAATTTCTGGAGCAAGTGTCATACCTTACAAATTGAAGGAAATTGGGGAGGACGCCATGCATTGCTTTCCACAGTGTTGTTTGGGTAGCCCGATGAGATACCCCAGCATCCCAACCAGAGAAAGAACAGCCATGAACATCCCAACCAGCGCAGAATGAGGACTGTTATCATTTAATTTCTTGTTCTTTTGCTGCAGCTCTTTGGAATTGGGTATTTGATCTGTTTAGGTGCAGATGGAACTTGCCAATTAAGGTAAATTTTTTGTTTTCTCCTTCTACCTTTGTGTGGCCCATGAAAAGGTGGAGAATTATGTTAAAATATACAAGAGCGGCGGCTCTCCTAGGGGCTATTTGGGAAGAAAGGAATGCCAGAATATTTCAGGAGAAGGAAAGGATCACTCTTGAGGTCAAGGAGTGTATTTTGACAAGGGCTATTTTGTGGCTGAAATCCTTAAAACTCTTTGAAAATTACTCCTTTGATTATATAAGGAGGAATTGGTCTGCAGTTGCCTTCTTCTTCTAAGAAGTCCAGAATTCAAGCAGCTTGGACTCCGCCTATGGAGGGTTTTGTTAAGCTGAATTTTGATGGGAGTAGTCAGGGCAATCCAGGACTATCTGGCATTGGTGGTGTACTGAGAAACGAAGACAGCAACATTCTTTCTCTTTTTTCAGGACCAGTGGGAATAGGAGACTCTGAGGGCTGAACTCCTAGTTGTGGTACAGGGGATACAGATTGCATATTAACTTGGAGTGCAGAACATAATAATTGAAGGAGATTCCAAGGTGGTTGTAGGATGGTTGGCTGACCTGGGTACTGACACTTGGGGCTTTAAGGATGTTTTAAAAAAGGTTAAATGGCTCACGAGGAATATGACACTTAGGTTTCAGTGGGTGGGTAGATCAGCAAATGCCTTGGCTGATTATCTTGCTAAAAAAAGGGGCTACTTGGGTTACTTTGTATTGGGCTTCTCTGTAGTTTTCTTTGTCCTTTGTCATGTGTTTTCAACTAAAGGATAGATGGAATCCTCCATCCCCCCTCCTTAAAGGGGAGGTAGCATCTCATGCCTCTCCCTAAATTGTACTTTCTTTGGCTATGATTTAATAAATCTTACTATTCAATGATAAAAAAACCATTTTTAGAAAACTAATAACTCTAACCAATGACGTTGAAATGTTAAACATGACTAAACTATGACTGGACAAATCAAACTACTAGGCCAGACCCCACATACAACATATAAAATAACCAAAATGCCCTATTGTCTAGAAATACAAAACTACAAAAAAAAAAAGTTCATAAATTTCCACATTTGAATCCTGCATCATGCCCTTTTTATTAGGCTCTTTTCCTAAATCCTAGGGCCAAACTTTGATGTTTGGAAATATAAAGTAAAAAGTCTTGTAGAAATGATTTTGAAATGGTGCTTGTTAGTTACCACATTGTGGAGCATCTTTTCATCTGCCACCTAAGCTGCAGCTTGCATGATTTCTTGCTTTTCTATATTGTGTATCTGGAAATCATGCTATTGTTTAATTTCTCTTTAGAACTTTGTAATAAAATGGATCACATAGATCTACTAACAATTTTGTAATCCCTCCCCATGTTGTCTGTCACTTTTCAACATTTAAATCATCCCACTTTTTGTCACTTTTTGAAAAGCATGGGAAGGAATTCTGTTACTTTCCTGAATTTCCCTTTATAACATTACAAATTCAAAACTTGAAAGAGGACTTTTTCTACTCCAAAAGAAAATGGAATACAATTACTAAATCAAACCCAAAGATGTCTTCTTTTCAATCCATTTTCAAGGCTTAGAAAGAAAACCTTTTAACTAAAAAAATACCTCTGTCATTTTTTAATTCAATCTGCATAGACAATATTGAATAAAAAAGGCTTCACTCCAAATAAAAGATGCTTGATGCTTCTTATTCAAAAATAGAAGTCCCAAAGGAAATTAGAAAGATCAAAGAACTCAACATCTCAGAATCTCAAGAGAAAAGAAAAAATTATAAGAATGAAAACCAAAAATTAGGAGCACTTTTTAATTTTTGGTACTAAGTAGTCCATACTAGACATTACAGGGTAATTGAGGGTGGAGCAGAGCAGTGTGCAAATGTGGCCTACTGGCCATACCACAGAGAGGCTGTGGTTCGGCAGGTTTGATCCCATGCCTCCTATTTGGAGGGGTACCATGTGACCATCTTGACTATTGAGTCATTGGAGTATTTATTTTTAAAGAGACAAATTTGGTTTACCAATAAAAAAAAAAAAGAAGTGAGAGAGAGAGACAGTGATTTGATTTAAAACTAAATTGTTCTCTTTTTTGGCTAATTAATTTCTAAATTTGCACCATTTAGAGATGCTTCGTCTTTGTTTTTATTCAAATTACTGACACCCTTCTTTTTTTTCCCTTTGTCAAAAGTCCTATTGTTTGTCTTCTTTGGTCTTTAATGGAAATTCTAAATCAAATTGTCTCAACAGAATTCTAGGAGAGATTTTTTTTTGATAGGCAATTCTAGGAGAGATTTTCTCCTTATGTTTCCAAATTTTTAGAACGGTACATCCACATTTGCTGGTGAAGGGGTAAATTTGCAAATCAATTATAAATGGACTTTTGTTGCATTATTGACTCCTTGATTTTTGTGTTTTGTCAAAAATGGTAAAGAAACAGAGGAAGTATAATGTATATAGGCTTTATTTTATTTTTATTTTTATGCATCACATTCTTTTCTTCTCTGGTTCATGCATCATACTGTTGGTGTTAAATAAACTATATAATTTGTTAGAACCCCTTTGTATGTTTCATAAAGTATTCCTGCTCTTAAATAAACAATTAGGATTCTCCAAGCCTTTAGCCCACCCAAAGTGTCTTCTTAAATTTGAGTAGTTCAGACTATGATGAGAAAATGTGTATTCTTTATTGGATGGTTATGGTTAGATATTCAAGGTTATGTATTTTTTATGGCCTATGTTGATGAGGAAATGGAGTATATGATAACCATCTGCCTCATGCATATCTTGTCTGTAGAGGAAAATATAAGATGAATGATTAACAACAGTTTCTCTAATGTTAAGCAGGGGCCATCTACTCTTGTGTTGAATTCACTTGGTGAAGCCAATACTATTAATGCAAGGGAACTAGTAGCACAAGATCCTGATAACAAGGATTTATCAAATCTTTCTCCCTTAATTCCTCTTCCTGTCTTTGTTAGATCTGGGGTTTCTGAGAACAAGTCTACTGAAGATTTGATGGATGGGCTAGATGAAATTGACAAGAACAATAGTCAGTTTGAGCACTTGGATGATGCAGGTGAAGCAGTTTATCCACATCCCACCAAAGAATTCAGTGAAAATGCAGATGAAATAAAAGAGATCGATGAAGAGTTGTTGTTGGAATTGGACAAAGTTGGTGACTTCAGTTTCAAAGAATTTGAATCAACCAGAAACAAGATTGAAGAGCAATCCAATCTGGAGGTCCATGAGAGCATTTCTACAATGCAGGTTTCTGAAGGCAATCTTGAAGATTCTGTAACTTTGGTCAAATGCAGATCTGATGCAGACCAATCAACAAAATCTGGTGATAGCCCTGGAGTTCCTGAAGAGAGCCATAGACATTTTGATGTAAATAGTACTTCAGAGGTGCAAGTTCTTGAAGAAAGTTCCATGGATGATATTGATTCTGTAATTAAGCAACCTGAAGGAGAAGATGTTGAAGAGAGTATTGTTCTTGAACCACTCAAATATGAGCAGTTGCCAAAGGAAAGTGAAGTTGGTTTTGATGAGTTAAAGCTCATAAACCAGGATCTAATACCGATTAATAATAGTTCACAGCTGCCAGTTGAAGAAGCAGGATCAGTTGAAGATTATGATTCTACCTTTAAGCAACTCCATGAAGTTCAGCAAACAACTGTTACTGTGTCTCTCAATGATAAGCCAGTAAAAGAGGAAAATGAAGTTAGATATACTGAAGCATTCCATGATAAGTTACTAAAGGAATCTGCAGATGGATCTATTGAATCAGGGAAATCAGATGGAGAATTCAATGCGACTATGACTAATTTTGAACTACCTGTTCTTGAGGCAAGATCTTTTGAAGATATTAAATTGGCCTTTAAGCAGCTCCATGAGGAAGGAGCAGATTTTGAAATACCTGTCCTCCCTGAACCAAATGACAACAAGCCACATGTGGTGGAATTTCAACATCCTAATGGGATTGGTTCAGACATGCAAATTGTTGAAGCTAGATCATTGGAAGATATCCATTCAACTCTGAAGGTACCATTGGTGTATAATATGGAGAACCTGAATTATTCAGAAGTTGAAGATGGGTCAGCTGAAGTTGAGGCTCAGGAACTGGAATCAACTGGAGTGGTTGATCTGAGATTCGCTGAATCAGAAGGAACCAACTTAAGTGCTGAAGGATCAAATCATGGAGTTAATGAAAAAGTAGACAGCACAAGTTTGAATGAGTCAGGTGAAAATTATAACAAAGAAAGATCTTATGAATCAAGCTCAGGCTCCAACACAAGTGATTCTTAATGAGATGATATAAAACAGAATGGTTTGGATTTTTTGGTTTCCTTGTTGTTCTTCCCATGATGTGGAACTAATGGGTTTTGGTGCTATTTTGACCTTCAGTTGTTTTTTGGCTTATGGTAATTGTGTTCCTTTTAGGTCTTTTAGATATTTTGTTTGATTGGTTACTATAACAGGTTTTGTTTGATCTCATTAGAGTAGTGAAGAGTGGAACTTTTGGCATTTTGTCCCATCTGTTGAGAGTTTGTAGTTGGCTTCCTTGGAGAAAGCTTGTTTTATCTATGCATGTTGTATATTATATCTGTTGTGGATAATTGTGATTGAAATTTTGAATTATTTGAGCATGTCCGTACTATTATTCACAATTTTATTTCTTGCTTTTTCTTATCTTCCTTTTTTATTACACAGGATCTGCTGTAAACACTGACATGTGAAACAGGTATGTAGCCAATCAAGAATGAACATGCCAGTGTTTTGTGCATGTAAGGCATCTGTCCTACGTGTAGGAAAACTGGCGTGTTCACTTTTAATTGGTCACATAGCCTGTTTCATACACTTGTTCACAGCAGATCCTGATTCCCTATTTATGGTTTTCCAGAAAATGTCAAGACAAGGGTTACTCTGGACTCTTGGCAAGGTCCATTGGCAGATTCTCTCTTTTGGTGCACTACAGTGCAAATCCAAATGTGGGCAGGAGGAACTAGGTTGTGTTGTTTAAATGGGAAAGCATGCTAATCAGGATGATCTGCATTCCTATTTTGTGTTCACTACATAAAGATGAATTTAATGTTAAATGTAATGTGCTCAATATTTCTCTTTGCAGTCAACTCTGAGAACTTGAAGTGTAATTGAGAGCAAAACAAGAATGTGCCATTCTCAGGTTACTACTAGAAATATTACTTTTAGCAACAATAGTTTGAGGCAGTCCAAAAATAGTGCCTCCATAAGTATTTTAGAGGACACCCTCTACGGGTGCTTGTTACATGCCTCTCTATGGGTTGTGGAAAAGGCTCACTTTACAGTTCAGATAGGCACCCTTTATGGGCACCCATTGCTTGCCTCCACTACAGATTGTGAAAAGGGCTCCTTCCTAATAAAAAAAAAAATACAAATATACAAACAAAAGCCTCTCTCGAGCCCTAACCACAAATCCATTCTTGCTTGTTTGAGAACCAGGGATGTACTGATGAGTTTCTACTTGCAATGGTGAGTTTCTTGCCTCTTGCTAGTTTTCTAGTTCATTTTCTCTCTCCATTTTATTCTTCTCCTTCCATACCATAAACCCTAATCAGTCATTCTCTATTTGTTGATTCAAATTGAAGTGGAATGAAAAACCTCGACATTCACCTTTTCTGTTTGCTTGAATATAAGTTCTCCAAACTGCTCCACCCTTGTTTTGCACTCAATCTATAGCCATCTGCCATTACTGATGGAAACTCTATTGGATTAGAAGAAGTATCACTACAACTGCTATTGCCACTTCCTTCTCAAGCCACAATCATCAACAAAGCCGTCTCCATTGAATCAATGACCAGTTTGGCTTTGTAACCACTTAGATCAGACTCACCTCCTCTTGGCATCAAAAGGTTTTACGTTACAGGGCTTATATTTCTTCATTACTATCTTTCAATTCTAATCTGATTTAACTTTTTCTTTCTGTAATTTCTCAGATTAGAGGTTTAACAGGAACCGTTCAGGATATCTTGTATGCTTTGAAGGTACTTAAATTCTGCAGAAATTCTGAGGCCAATTATCTTCTGCTTGTTTACTGCATGCTCCATATATCTTTAATAGCCTATACTGGTGAAAAATATCTTTAATAAGTTACACTCCTACATAAATTGGGCAGACAAACATTATTTAAGAAAAATCCACTAGATGTTCCATTAAGTTACCAAATATTTATAAAAATATCATGACTAAGACAAATTAGAAATTCTGGGTGGATGTGCTGAATAAATTTAAACTGGATGGTGTGAAAATCCCAACAGCTCCACAGTGAGAAAATCCCAAAATTTCCCTGGACTCTTGTGAAATTCAAATCCTGGAAGATTCTCTTTTTTTCTTCCGTGCCTACATTTGGCTTGGTGTTCCTTTGTTTCTAGTTTGCAAATTCAACTTTTCTTGTCATTGTTGTTATTAGAAGAGGGCATCTCTCAATTGTTGTTCTATGTGATTGAGATCTCTCTCTTTGGGGATTATTCTCTTTAGGAAAGAGGTCCTCTTTTTTACTATAAACTTAGTCTAAGCATATGTGTGACCAGATAGGTAGCTAGGTATGTTGATATAGATGGTTTGGTATTTGATGGTCTATCTTTTTTATTTCAGTTTTAAAATATCTGTTGATCTTTAAGGGAGCTCTATTAAAGGTTACGGCATTATCATGGGTATATATAGGAAAGATTCTGTTTTCCTAGTTTCTTCTGGACTCCACATCTTTCTTCAATGAGTTAATTGTTTGGCCTTTGACCTTCTAGCCCCTACAACCTTGAACACAGCTACACCTCCAGACAACTTGGACAATCGTTCCTGTCTCTGTCCTCGCCAAATGTGGTTGTGCTCTTTTTTCATGAATGCCCTAATTTTCTCAACTGGATCAGCTGAAACATTCTATTTGAATATTAACAATTCTGTCTAGCTCACCTCTGATGATCTTGCTCAATTGTAGAATACTCTAGCACATCTTTCTTCTGAGATGCTCCAAAAAATAGCATGCAAAAAGATATTTTTTGCCATGATCATCTTACCACAATCATTGAGGGGTCTTTGATTTTTTATTTGAAGGTGGTCCTGCTAGAATCCTGGATATGAAATCAATACCTGTTAGGCCTAGCTGTCAGGAGTCTGCAAATAATCTTTTCATCCATTCTACTTTTGATGCTATAGCTTGCAGCTTGCAGTTACAGAGCAACATGAAAGTTTTGAAAGGTTTCAATGCAAACATATATATTGGAAAATGATAATATTATGTGCAATGGATGTATATGAAGAAAAATGGATGTGCAGTGTGCAGACAACATTTCCTGGCAATGCAACACATTTTCCTAATGAAATGTTATTTTTTTATTAGTTTATGGTGGTTAGAGGCAAACTTTGGGGCCTCATCGATCTTCAGAATTCAAATTACAAAGCTGTCTCAGTGATTATCTTGACTAGTGACAAGCTCCCAAGTACATTTTCATGTAGTACCTTGATCTCAGCATCCATGGCTTCTCTCCAATCTGAACATTTTCCTAATGGAATGTTATTTTTTGATTATTTTATGGTGGTTAGAGGCAAACTTTGGGGCCTCATCGATCTTCAGAATTCAAATTACATAGCTGTCTCACTGATTATCTTGACTAGTGACAAGCTCCCAAGTACATTTTCATGTAGTACCTTGATCTCAGCATCCATGGCTTCGCTCCAATTTGAACTCCTAATCAAGGTTCAAAATATCGATATGATACACCCCGTATCGGGCATATCGTGTTGTATCTTTTGGGGTCTGAAACGCTTGTTTACAAGTATTTCGTGACTCCACTATTTTTTAATAAAAAATATGTTAAAATATCTTCCTAAAAACTAAATTTTGAAAAAAAAAACTAAAAAAAAGACCATTTCCGCTTGTATCTAAGTATTGATATGCCTTTACCGATACACAAAGGCGTATCGATACTCTGAACCATGCTCCTAATCGCTTGCTGGTAAGAACGAGGAATATTTGTTGAGGACAAAACAATAGAGAATGAACTATGGTTTGAATAAAAACCATAGCGGTAAGGAGGCCGAGAAAATATGAATAGAACGACGAAGAGGAATGAAAGAATTAGCATTGGAAGGAGTAGTATCTAAGGGAAAAGTACTTCTTATAGGAGGATTTAAAGAATGATGTTCTAGAATAAGTGATTTAAAAGGTGTGCCTAGGCGCACAGGCGAGGCACATTTTAGGGTAGGCGCCTCGCCCTGGTCCTAGGCACAGCCCATTCAAAAGGCACACGCCTAGTGTGCCTAGGCGTGCGCCTGGTGCGCCTTGTGCCTAAGCCCAGGCATGCACCTTTTGAAAATTTGACCCTTTTTCCTTTTGAGTCTAGCGGCTGGGCCAAGGGCTCCGCCCCCAGACTCCCGTTCGCTTGCTCATGGAAGCTTCAAGAACCCCCTATTTGGTAATGCTGTCCATTCATTCATCCTAATAAAATATCTTCTTAAAAGCAATTAAAACTATAATATCATTATTTTTTGTGTGAAAACTCAGAATTAAGACCCTAACATGGACTTGTTTGGGCTTGCCTCGAGGGGCATGGCACAAAGGCCGCTCGTAGAATTAGAAATGTAATATGCCACATTAGCTACTTGATTTAATTGAGAAAAAAGAGATCGTGGGTTTTATATGCTTGAAAATGTTTTGTATGTTTGATTTCATTTTTAAATTCTCATTTGAATATGCTTTAGATATTATGTTTATGTATTTTAATTTTAGATAATAGGTTTTTTAAAACATTTATTTCAAAATTTAAGTTTATATTTTTATTAATATTATGTTTTATAGTTTTTTTTTTATTTTTTTGGCATTTTTTTGACTTTTTGATTTTTAGCTTTTTTTTAATTGTGCGTCTTGCCTCAAAAAGGTGTGCGCCTCACCTTGCGCCTTGCACCTCGAGCACAAAATGGCTCTTTCGCCTTTCGCTTTTAAAACACTGTCTGAAATGGATAGAGGGGGGGCAGGCATAGGTTTTGGAGCATGTAGCCACTTACAAGTGAAGACAAGAGTTACTTTCACAGTAAATGAGGGAGGAACATCCTCTGGAACAAATTTCTTCAAAACAGAGACAAAGGGTGCAGACAATTGAGTAACTCCAACAAAAAAGGATATATGTTCAAAAATACAACATTTCATGAAATTCTAATACGATGAACAACAAGATTATAACACAAGAACCCTTTGTGGTTAGAACTATATATCCCACAAAGGCACATATGGCAAACTGAGCAGTTAGTTTAGAAAGTTCATGAGAAGGAAGATGTACGGAACATACATAACCAAAGACATGGATGTTAGATAAATCAAGAGAACAACCAAAAAGCTTCTCAAAGGGTGAGATATTAGCAAGAATAGAAGAAAAAAGGTAGTTGATAAAATACACAACTGTATGGGCTGCTTCTACCCAAAAGGAAGGTGGAGCATGGGATTCCTGTAGAAGTGTCCTTACAACACAGACATGCCCATTCTTGTGTTCTTCTGCACCATTTTGGTGAGGAGTATCTGGGCAACTATGTTGAGATTGAATTCCATAGCTCCTCAAATAGGCCTGAAAATCTCCATCTATATATTCTCCCCGTATGTCTGAGTGAAGAATGCTGATTT